CGAAGACCGGTTAAGGTGGGGGAATACAATCAGGAGTAAAAAAAAATCGAAGTCGGTCATACGCAGTCCATGCAAAGAGGGCGAGAGAGAGGAATCACGGGCTAAGATGCATCGGTTTGAGCATAATACAGGGCGTAGTATGCGCCATGGAGCTGCATCAATTCATCCGGTTTACCCGATTCCAGTTTGAGACCATCAGCCAAGACGACTACTGTTTCTGCACCACTAATAGCGGTTAAACGGTGTGCACTGATCAGAGCGGTTTTGGCCCGCATAGCGCCGTTCAATCCGGTCTGCACTTGAAGCTCAGTCTGCGTGTCTAGAGCCGAAGTGGCTTCATCGAGCAGAAATAGGTTTGGATGCCGGATTAGGGCGCGCGCGATGGCTATGCGTTGTTTCTCACCACCAGACAATTCACTGCCATGCGGACCTGCAGTAGTCTCATAACTCTGAAATGCAGAAGAGGCATGATTGGTGAGGACTTATACACTTGATCACTGAGAAATAAAATGGTTGGAAAGTGTTTCATCATACAATGCCACATGTGACAGAGGGACTGGACATGGCACAGTCGTTTCATCTGTTTTTTATGAGTTGCAAGCGATGCAAAAGCACTAGGACAGGTTGTGATTACCTACAGTCGAACGTGTATGACGGAACAGTTAAGTGAAAGTGAATGAGGATAAAGTGGCACCCAGCTAAACTGAAATTACAATGAACTATTGCCTGCAAAGAAAGTGGAACAAACTTACATTTGGAAGGTTTGCTATGAAGTCATGAATACCAGCCCGTCGAGCCGCGTCCATGATCTCTTCCATTGGGATTTCGCGTTCGTTGTCTCCGTAAGCAATGTTCTCTCGAAGCGTGACGTCAAATAAATGTGGTTCCTGGTCGACCATGCCAATCTGACGTCTCAGCCAACTCGGGGCCAAGCGCTCCAGTGGCATATCACCAATAAAGATGCCTCGATTGGGATCTGTCCCTCCAATAGTATAGAATCGCTGAAGCAGGCTGAACAGGCTGGTTTTTCCGCAACCCGAGTGGCCGACTAAAGCCGTTGTCACACCCGGCGACATAGTGTGGGAAAAGTCCTATACAGAAAAATGAAGATTAATTGGAACGCGATGCAGTGTGTGTGTAGATTTAGTGAAATTTTAGTGCATAAAGGTCTTTCAGACGTGACCAAGACAAACAAGTGGTCATGCTGCTTAGTGCGTTTAGTAAATTAATAAAATGAAGGACAGCTGAAATGACGAAAGGTTGAACTGAATGTCCCAACTTGAAGTGATCTGTGGTAACCTATAACTGATGCCGATCGCTGAACGTCCTTTGTACCTAGATGCGTTAAGGGTAAATATATACCAATCTTTACCGATGCAGTGCAAAAAATAACCATAGGTTTTAAGGGGTAGAACAAATAGCAGTCGATTTCGGATGGGGAGGATGTGACCGAAGGAATGGAATTAAACATTCTTGGGTAGATGATCGATGACGGATTAAATTAGCTACTATTTTCTATTACTTTACTTTGCTTGGTTAGATTCGTCAAAAGATAAGTTGGCTTCCTGAGGAGTATGAATTTCTGTAGAACAAGACATGTCCATCGTGCCATTCGGCTTTGCAAAACCCAGGTGCAGACTGAAGCAGAAATGTGTCGGTAGCCTCATAGGAGGTCATTCGCCATGTGGATTAAACCCAGTGATTTATGCTTATTTGTTCCTTCGGCCATCAGTGAAGTAGTTGTATTTACGTGTCGTGCATCATCTCACCAAAATCCAATGAAAACGAGGGGAACAGAGAACGAATGTAATTTTTTTTCGATAGTTTCAATGTACACATTTGGACGTTTCTCTTTCGGTGTGGCCTCGTAGCTCAGCTGATCGAGCGTGCGTGTGCAAAGCGTGGGCAGCATCCATGCGTAGGTTCGAATCCCACTGGGGCTACTGAACTTTTCACAATCGCCATACAAACTTCAAATCTGCCAAACAGTTTCTGTTTCTCTCATGGGGAGAAGGGTTTCGACAAACAGACTGCACAGCAATTGCGCCACAGACAACTATCCTGAGCCATCTCTCAGCGTCTTTAACTATCAGCAATCTTTCGGCTGCAGCCTGGAAGGTGAGATGCACCAACCGAAGCAAATGCTGAGACTAGCTTCTTCACACTTCTTGGGCAGGCCATGGTATGACTGCCGCGACGGTTCCTCCAGCCTTGCCCATCACATGCAACAAGAGCATGGAAAGGTTGTCGATGGACAGGCATACGCAATACGTGACCAAGCCATCGGAGGCGGTGTAGAGTGATTACTTCTGTTAGAGAACGACAATCCACACCCAATACACGACGACTAACCTCGTCATTACTCACCTGGTGTTCTCACCAAACACAAGCAATGCTTCCAAGGCATCGGTTGTCAAATACGGCAAGTCGATTGGTATCCTCCGCTCGGAGAGGTCAGGTCTAGCAACCGTAAAGTAGAACGCTACGAACCGTGGCAATGTACATCCCTCCCCTAAGGGAAAGTAGGATGTAATGCCGACGCCATAGGTGTCGCAGGTTGGAAAAAGCTGTTGTAGCTTATGTTATTCATGATGTGATCTTTTCTCCAGCAACACCTTGACGAGGGTGGACGCCAAGTGGTGTACCGGCATTTCGTACTGGCGAGGAATAGGCGGTGGTTGGAACATAGAGCCAAAAGCCGTTCTTCGTTTTCTGAATGAAAAGAAACTAGTCCGAAAGGAAATCCCAGATGTGCCTCACTGGAAGTCAGTAAGCCTACTCTAGCATTCACAGCTCCTGCTCAAATCACGATATCAGCCCGATTAGCTTTACGCAAGAGGTCGGGTAGTTTTTGGTAGAAATTATCTTTGACTGGATCTGAGCTACAGTTTGTGGGTGTGTATGCTGAGACTACAAAACAAGTTGCGTCTTTCGGAACGACGACTGCCAGAAAGACCAGGACCAGTAGCCTCAAGGCCCCCAGAGAGGCGTAAGTAAAACTTCGCAAATTGAATTGATAGGGGTGCCAATCGGATAATGGAGCTGAAGTCTTGAATGCGAGTTTCTTGGATGCAACACACATCGATGGTTAGGGTTTCGAGCGTACGAACTAAACATGCCTGTTGTCCTATACGCATCAGAGTACGCACATTAAACATGGCTAGTTTGAAGGGACATCGGGGGCGAAGAAGGGCTTCAGTTGGTGGAGGATTCGGTGAGACTTGGATGCTAGTCGAGTTAGGACAAGAGTGAA